TAATAGAGATGTTAGTTTGTCCATGTTCATTGTGTCAAATAATTTCTTAGTCCACTCTCCTTTGGAAGGTCTTGTTTTCTGCTTCCATACTCTTGCATAGCTCAATCGAGCTGCCGTGGTAATGTACACAAAGATTTTTTCCTCATTCACACTCCACTGGTCTGTTGTGAAGCTCAGCAGATAGTTTTCTGGTTTAAAGGGGAGTTTTTTTTTCAATACTTTCTGACACATGGTGTGGATTTCTTTCCAAAAGGCTTTTGCCGTCTTGCAGTGCCACCATGTGTGTATAAAGGTCCCCTTGTGCTTTCCACATTTCCAGCATCTGTCATTGTTATTTTTGCTGAACTTCGCAATTTTGTCTGGAGTCATGTGCCACTGATGAAACATCTTTATTAGGTTTTCCTTGAAGTCGAATGCATACATGAAGTTTAGTTTTCTAGTCCATAGTGCCTCCCACTCCTCTATGAGGATAGATCTTTTTAGGTTTCTGGCCCATCTTATCATGCAGGTTTTTATCTGCTCTCTTTCTGTGTTCCATAGGAGTAGCTGTTGGTATATTTTTGTTATTACTTTCTTTTTACCTTCGTAGATTTTTTTCCATGATGATGTGTTTTCTTCAAAACCTAAGTTGGAGTCTTTTTTGAAGTGCTCTTTTATTTGGAGGTAATGCAGCCATGATACGATCGGGAATTTTGATCTTACTTCTTCATGTGATTTTAGTTTCATTTCACCTTGTTCCTTCTTTAAGAGGTCCCCATAAGTTGGCCATTCTCTCCAGCCTAATTCACGTCTGTGGCATGCCTCCATAGGGGATACCCATTGGGGAGTTTTGCTGTGAATCCTCTGCTTGTATTTGTTCCAGAGTCTCAATAAGGCTGAGCGGACGATGTGGTTTCTGAAACTTTTTTCCACAGCTTTCTTCCCATACCACAGGTAGCCATGCCAACCTGTTCTCAATTCATGTCCCTCTAAAGTAAGTAATCTACTGTTGTTTAGTGTTATCCATTCTCTCAGCCATTCTAGGCCGCTGGCCTCCATGTACAGACCCAAGTCAGGCAGTCCCAAACCTCCTCTTTTTCTTTCGTCTATCAAATTGGTGTAACTGATCCTTGGTTTTTTGTCATTCCAGACAAATTTGGCTAGGTCTCTATTCCAATCTTTATATATTTTGCCCTTCCTGAGTATCGGGATGTTTTGGAAGAGATACATCATCCTGGGGAGTATGTTTGTTTTTATGACTGATATTCTGCCTAGTAGAGATAGGTTCAGCGCTTTCCAATTTTTCAGATCTTTTTTGATCTCCTTCCATTTGGTGTCATAGTTGTTCTGTATTAATTGTGTGTTCTTGGCTGTTAGCTGTATTCCTAAGTACTTAATTTTGGAGGTGATTTTTACATCGATAAGTTTTGTTAGTTTTTCTTGTCTTGCCTTGGAGATATTTTTAGTTAACATCATTGATTTGTCTTTGTTTACTTTCAAGCCCGAGACTACACCGTATTCTTCTATTTTCTGCATCCATTTCTCTATGTTGGTAAGGGGGTCTTCTATGATGAGAATGACGTCATCTGCGAATGCTCGTAGTTTGAATGTTTCCTTAGCTATTTTTAGGCCTTTTAGGTTGTCATCTTGTCTTATATTGTTGAGTAGGATCTCTAATGCCAGGATAAAGATGAGGGGGGATAGTGGGCAGCCCTGTCTCGCTCCCTTTTCTACCTTAAATTTCCTTGATGCCTGCCCATTTACCCATACATCTGCCTCTTGGTCTTTATAGATCTCTTCGATGACGTTCATGAAAGAGTAGCCTATATCCATTTCTTTCAGAAGTGACTTAAAAAAGTCCCAGTTGAGCCGATCAAAGGCTTTCTCAGCGTCTATCGAGAGCAGGGCCATTTCTTTTTCGTTGTGCACCTCATAATATTCTATAACGTCTATGATGTTCCTAACGTTGTCTTTTATATTTCTTTGCGGAAGGAATCCGGCTTGATCTTCTTTAATCCATGAGGCTAAGAATGCTTTTAGTCTTTCTGCTATGATGTTAGTGAAGATTTTGTAGTCGACGTTCAGGAGCGATATGGGTCTGTAATTTTTTGTGGACGTTGGGTCGGAATTTTCTTTGTGTACTAAGGTTATGTTGGCTGTTTTCCATGAGCTGGGCATTTTCTTGCCATGTAGTATTTGGTTCATGATTTCCTTTAGGTGTGGTTTTAGTTCGTCTTTTAGTGTTTTATAATAGGTTGCAGAGAGGCCGTCAGGGCCAGGAGCTTTGTTTCCGTCTAGTTTCTTGATTGCTTTTTCTATTTCTTCCTCCACTATGTCTCTGTTTAGCATTTCACGCTGTTTTTCTGTTATTCTCTGTATTCCTATTTTCCCCAGATACGCTGAGATGTCTTCCTTGCTTATCGTATCTTTCTTATATAGTTCTTTGTAGTATTTGTGAAATTGGTCTTGAATATCCTGTTCCCTTGTATAGATCTTATCTTTGTCCTTTATCTGCGTGATGTATTGTGCTTGTTTTTTCTTTCTGATCCTCCTTGTAAGCCATCTGCCCGGTTTATTTGCGTTTTGGAAATTGTATTGTTTCATGAACTTTAAGTCTTTTGCTATTTGTTCCGTTTCTAGGTATCTTCTTTGTTTGTTTAATATTTCCAATTCCTGTTTGAGTTTTTTGTTATTTGAGTTTTTCTTGTATTTTTTTTCCGCTTTTTCTATTTCTTGTTGTATTTTGTCTAGTTGTTGGGTCCTTTGTTTTTTCTTCCTGGCATTTTGCTGAATAAAGTGTCCCCGCATCACGGCTTTGCCTGCGTCCCATACTATGGTCTTGTCCATTCCTTGCGTGTTGTTCATTTCGAAGTATTCTTTCAGAATTTTTCTATTTTTTTCTATATCTTCTTCAGATCGGAGGATGTTCTCGTTTAATCTCCACTTCCCAGTTTTGGTTTTTTGATTCATTATTAGTTCCATGGGACAATGGTCGGAATCTTTTCTTGCCTTTATCTCTATTTTATCTACCATTGGTGTTAAAGTTTTTGTTGACCAGATCATATCGATCCTTGACCATGTGTCGTATCTACTGGAGTGGAATGTGTAGTCTAATTCCTTACTGTGATGTGCTCTCCATGTGTCTTGTAGGCCAAAGTCGTCCATCAAATTGAGGAAACTTTCTGGTAGCTTTCCTTGGTCTTTCTTCCTTTTCTTCCTTTTCTCTTTTGTAGTTTTGTCCATTTCTGTGTTTAAGACCCCGTTGAAGTCGCCCATTATGATCATGTTCTGAACTTCCTGTTCTTCTAGTAATTCTCTTAGCTTTTTTATAAATTTGCCTTTAGCTCCATTTGGGGCGTAGAAGTTGCATATTAGTAATTTTTGGTTGCCTCTTTCTATTGTTACACCCACTATTCTGCCCTCTGAGTCTTTGAGAGCCAGGTTAGCCACTAAGTTTTCTTTTATGTAGATTACTACCCCCCTTTTTTTTTTTTTACTGTTGCTGATGAATGGAATTCCTTCCCCAGGTGTTTCTGTATTAGGTATGAGCTGTGTTCCTGTGAGATGTGGGTTTCTTGAAGTGCGACTACGTCGTAGTTTCCCTTTCTTATTTGTTTAGATGCAAAATGTTTGTTGTTTATTAATAGTATTCTCTGAGTATATAATGCCCTATTCTAATGTAAGGAAGTTGAATAGCTGTCTTGGATAAAACAAACCCCGAACAGATTAAATGTTAATGCCTCTCTGTTGCCTTGGTCCTCTCTGTTGCCTTGGTCCTCCTATATTCTTCACTGATCGGGCCCCATCAGGAGTACCTCATTCAGTTCCAGGCACCTCATTTTGAGAAGGGTATAGAAAACAAGGATGATAAGAGATATGGAAAACAAAACATATGAAGAAAGGTTGAAGAGGTTGGACATGTTCAGCTGCCACAGAGAGGAGGAGGCAGGCTTGTTCTCTGCTGCTTTAGAGCAGAGGTTCTTAACCTCTGGATTTCCATGTGTTTTGGCCTACAACTTCCAGAAACCCCGGCCAGTGTACCAGCTGTTAGGATTTCTGGGAGGTGAAGGCCAAAACATCTGAGGACCCACAGGTTGAGAACCACTGCTTTAGAGGATAGGACCAGGTTTTATGGTTTGACATTAACAGGAGAGGATATAGTTAAATATTAGAAAGAACAGCTTGAGTGGTTTATCAATGGAATCAATTGCCTAGAGAGATCCTAGAGTCACCAAGTTGACATCTTCAAAAAGAGGCTGCACAACCACCTGCTGGAGATCCTGCATTTTTTGGACTAGATGATCTATGATTTCTCATGTAACTCTATCATACTATGGTTATGATAATATCATTTCTTAAGATTTTGTGTGAGAGTTGGAGAACATGGAGAAGTTATCTAAAAGACTCTTCATTTCTAACTATTTCTATATGTTGTCTCTTCTACCCCACAAATGCCTTGCATAAGTGTGCATGTAAACAAGTATAAATTATGTATATATTGAAGAAGAAATAGTACTTTGTGGAAGAAACTTTTATTTTACATGAGAATTAACATTTCTGTGCAAACATATTATTTTCTGTTCAGAAAATGTAATTTTTGTAGAATGGTTTATTCTTTGGGCAACCTCCACACACAGTCACATACATATGAATTTTGTGCAGAATACACCTGGAATAGTCTTCAAAAACTTCATTTTTAAAGATTTTCTAATTATGTTTGTTTTGGGAACTAATACAGAAACATCTCTGTTAGTATCTTGCATGTAGGATCACCAAAGAGGGTGGGGAAAGGCAACATCTGGAAGTAGTGTGTGAGTGGAGGTAGATAATCAACTTACTTCAGTTATATCAAAAACCAATTTGAATTTAAATTGAAAAAGAAGAATGGTTCCACTGAGGTAACATCATACAAAGATGCTATTCCAGATATGCATTCTATTTATCAACTGTTCTGCACAGACCATAGGGCAGGGAAGAGCTTTGAGGTGTACGTGCTTCCAATAGCAAATGTTACTACTTACTTGTGCAAGCCACTTCTGATGGATCAAAGTCGGCACGGTAGTAACCATTGCGACAAGTGCAGATTGGAGCAGCTTCTGAAGTGGAGCGACTGTTAGGAGGGCACTGCGTACAGATTCCTGCTCCCTGGCTGGCCTTGAACATCCCTGCAGGGCAAGCTGGAAAGAAGGAAAGATAAAATGTCTAATGATCATCAACTTTCTTCAATTAGAGACATAGTAAATGTTTCATTGCATTTGACAAGGTTAACTTTTAGAAGTTTAAATTATTATCACAGTCAAGAACAACATAGAGTTTAGCATTCTTGTATAAATAAAAATAATTAAAAATGAAGTAGTAGAAACCTGGGAAACAGAATAGAACTGATTAGTTTAAAGACTGACTGTGAATTGATTATACAGACCAACAACAACAAAATTTCCTTCATGTCTTGGTTTTTAGGTCTGCTCCTGAGGATATTTTCAGGTGCTGATTCAGAAAATTGCATTGGCTAGACAGCATCATCTCTAGTTTCTTAGATATAGCTATCATCATTTTCTATGGGTGAGCAGTTGGTAACTGGTAGACAGATAGCATGTGTTCTGTATCTCAAAAAATAGAGTTGATAGGGGAAAACAACTGCATTTTTTTTGTAATCAGCAGGTTAAATATAGCCATAAACATTTGAGGCACCAAAAGTGTGTAGGCTAGTGTTTGATGAGTTTGTAAGTTTTGTACCAGTTGCAAATCACAGTTCTGTTTGCCAGATCTATTCTATAGGTCATTCTGTGACAGAAATGGAAGTACTAATCCATGCAGACTGATAAAAAAGATAATCTCTAGGCTGACAGATATTTTTAACTGCACACTGGGTGGCTTACAGATTTCTACTGTTTAATTATTGGCAGATTGAAGTCTTCACACAGTTGTAAAGTCATACTAAATATCATTAGCAGCTGGAATCCATTTGGACTAATTTGTTAAGTCTTCCTCATTTTTGATTTTGGCACTAGGGACAAAAGGGGAGGGGAGCGGGGCAAATCTGTCACCCCACGTGGAGCTGGCTCTCATCAACGCATTTCCCATTACAGGGTTAAGTGTCACCCAAGCACCTAGTCCCAGTGCTGGCTCTATAGGAGCCATGTGGTAAAGCCTCCTATGACAGTTTCACCCCAGTTGAGGGTGGAGCCTCAGCCAATATTATGTAATGGCTGGCATGGGATTCTGTCCTGAAGCCAGGGTAAAAGCATTCTAGGACACTTTGTTAGGTAAGTGTGATGAGGTGCATCCTTCCCTCTTGCCACCATTATAAGATTGCCATATATATTAGTCATTACAATAGCTGGGAAGAGTCGTAAACCATCTGAACTGTTGTCACATGGTTTAGATCTTCTGCATGCAAAGACATATTACTATTCAGTGGTTATGCAAACCAGACACCCACAACCAATCAGAATGAAGAGAATTGTTTAAATGAGAGTAAGCTGTATTATTTTCTGTCCTTAATGGTGTGTCATCCATCATTATGATTTGATGAGACAATTCCATGTCAAGATAATGCCTCTCAACTTTGTTTTAGCTTTATAAATTTATTTCACTTTCGAAGTTTCCTACTCTAATATAGCTATGCAGACAACTGGCTATTATGCAAAGATTTCACACTGGACTTGTGTCAACAGCCCATTTCAGCTGACCCATCTCATTAAGACAGATATTCTGCCTCTGCCCACTCTACATCATTCCACATTAGCATTGTTAAGTCTGAAACCTAGAAACAGCCTTTTCAGAACATTGAATACCAATGGCTTGGCTAAATTCAGCCTGAAAAAAAAAACACTCCTCTGCCAAAAATGCCAATTAAACAGAATAGAGCAATAGTGTTTATGATACAGTTAATTCTATGAGGATTAGATTGAGGCTATAATTGATCTTCTAGGCTATTAGAATTATGATCCTTTGGCCAAGCAGAATCAACCAAATGGCATGGGCCAAAACTCTGATGTAATACAACACTTAATTTTTTTTAAAAAAAGATATTTATTTCCTGTTGTTGCTCATATTTCTGTTCAGAAATTTTACAACTAATATAATTTTTTGCCTAGATATTACGATGAGGGGGTAAGAGAATATCTGGCAGAGTTCTACTTAACTCTAGCCCTCAGTTGTTCAAATAATTCATTTCAGCTTGCATTTAATATAGTTCCATCATTCATTCAAAATGGCTCTAAACTCAAAACAACAACTTGAAGTGTCTTTTGATTATCTCCTTACAGACTATAGTCAAGGTGAATGTGTTTCTAGGACGCCTCAGAGTTTATTCAACCAGAAGTTAGCAATTAATTCATAAATAGGAAGCCCTCTCTAGCTAGAGTGATAACAATGCTTTAATCCTTGCCGTGCAAGGATTCATTAATCAACCGTTCTCTGTGGCTTGTTATCCTAAATACAAAAAGGATGCAAAGAGAATTTCTTGTTCCAACTTACATGGGAGATATACAGTCCAAAGCTGATTAGTTCTATGTCTGAATTCCCCAGAAGTTTTCCTTGTATTAGGTACTATGTAAATGAAAAACAATAGATTGAGGGATTGGGGAGGGGGCTATGTGTGGATCTCAGAACTATATTTTTAACTCCCTGTGTAATTCAGTTGATGATAAAATAGGAGCTAGCTTCCAAAAAGTGTAAAAAAGGGAAACTGAATAAAGTGCCAGTCCTCCAGGAAGACAGCTTCTATTTGCTTCAGTCAGAAATTTGGAACTCTTTAATGGAAAGGAAATGAAATGAGAAAATGGGATTTGAAAGACTGGAGAATCCAGTTAAATTTAAAGACACACACGACAGATTTCCGGAACTTTAAATGGTTTATTATATGTCTTTTTGGTCACACTCAAAGGAACAATAGTCTTAGAAGACAAATCATCTAGCTGGTGCTTGTTTTCTGTCAACAGTCAGAATATATTTAGGATAGCATCCTACTAGTAATATACACAATTTGTGTTATGGATGTAGAGTGATTTTTTTTAACAAGGTGCAATCATCAGATGAAGAGCAAGGCTGCATTAACAGCATTATAGGCCCTCAGGCAAAGCAGGACACTGGGGCTTTGCTTACAGAACAGAATAAAAAAGGGGAGAGGGGGAAGAGGAGATAACTTCTGATCAAAGGGGAGAGGGCACTTCCCTCTTTCCTCATCAATGGTGCAAATGCATGAGCAAGGGCGCCTTGCTTTATGCATTGCATAACATACCCCAGGTCCCATTTTTGCTTTTTCCCCAGACACCCTCCCCCCCCCCACCACACACACACACACATCTGGGTGGAGGAGGAGAAAGAAGAAGAAAGATCATAGAAAGATCTATGAAATATCATAGAAGAGWAAAATGTGAAGAAACAAGAAAGGAAGTGAAGTGTACATCTTTATTGCAAGCAATAAAAAGAGTGAAATTTCTCTTGTGAGTGTAGACATGTCAACTCTCCCCTACATGTCATAATTTTTCCCTTCTACCAATTTAGTAAGAGATTTGAATGCTGAGGCAGGTGATTGGAGAATGAATGTTAAATTCTGATCCACACATAGATTAGCACTGGCCTACTATAGTTGTGAGGCCCCCAAGCAACTGCCCAGCATGTCTATGTATGAAGATGACACTGAGGCTGGATCTCCACTGCCCTATATATCCTGGTATCTGATACCAGATTATCTGCTTTGAACTGGATTATATGAGTCTCCACTACCATATAATCTGGGATAAACAGATAATCTGGGTTCAGATCAGATCCTAGGATATAGGGCAAGGTAGATTCAGCCTAAGATTGGATCTACACTGCCCTATATCCCAGGATCAGATCTGAAATTGTCTGCTTTGAGTTGGATTATGTGAGTCTACACTGTCAGATAATATGGGATAAGAAGATAATATGGGATCAGATCCTGGAATATAGGGCAGTGGAGGAATGGCCTGAAGGAACACCTCATGCAGGCATCTTGTCTATGCACAATGGTAGAGAATAGTGTGCAAATGTGCATGGTGCATGTGGCCGTACATTATGCTACATGATGATAGCTATGTGCATGGTTCCTCTTGTACATTTGGTCGACATATTGCTATCCAGTACTGAGGTTGGGGAAGTGGAACATGTACCTCTTCTATTATTGAAAGCACAACAAAGTTCATCTAGTAATGGAAATGGAACATAAGTACACTAGCAGTAGAAGTGGAACATAACTCCAAAACAGTGAGAGTGCAAGGTAACTCATCTAATAGTTATTAACAGTACATGTACAGATACAGAATCTTGACCTTAGAGTCCAAATGTCAATTTCCTTTTTCCTGACAATACACTCAGATGTACGGAACCAAAATGTAAGAACCAAGACAAAAATAGGTTCTTGTGGGTTTTTTCGGGCTATAGAGCCATGTTCTAGAGGCATTTCTCCTGACGTTTCGCCTGCATCTATGGCAAGCATCCTCAGAGGCAGTGAGGTCCGTTGGAATTAGGACAATGGGTCTATATATCTGTGGAATGGCCGGGGTGGCACAGAGAAGCCATTGAAATCCACAAGCATGTGGACAATTTCAAGAGAAAGGAAGAGACCATGAAAATGAACAAAATCTGGCTACCAGTATTAAAAAACTCTAAAATTATAACAGCTAAACAACAGAGAGGAAAAAACCAGGCACAGATTAACACCTCCCAGCAACAGATTTCCCAGGCTTAGGCAGGCCTTCAAATGCTAATGAAGGTGATCAGCTAACATTCACACCTAACTGCAGCAGGGAAGAGCTCCTTGCCCCACCCCAGCCATTCCACAGATATATAAACCCATTTTTCCTACTTCCAACAGACCTCACACCTCTGAGGATGCTTGCCATAGATACAGGCGAAACGTCAGGAGAAATGCCTCTAGAACATGGCTCTATAGCCCGAAAAAACCCACAAGAACCTAGTGATTCCAGCCATGAAAGCCTTCGACAATATATCAAGACAAAAATCCTTTTAACTTTGTTTATATATGTTCTGTGTGTCTGTGTCTGTGTGAGAGAGAGAGAGCGAGAGAGAGCAGTATAATAGTTTGCTTGAGACCGTCAATTTTGATTTGTGCCAAAATTTGTACACACTTAGCAGATTTACATTTATTTTCCTTTATACTCTTCTGTATGATTTCTATTAATGTTTT